GTTCTGTTCAAACAACTGTCTCTTGTTCCATGTACAGATTCTTCATGAGCACAATTAAGTGTTCCAGAATACTCATACTTTGCAATGTTGGCCATAGCTTGTCATGATCCACACAATCGAAAGCCTTTGCAGCAGAACATAAAGGGGGCAAAATGATGAAAGTTTCTTGGACATTACCAAACACCTTGAGACAAGTTGCTGAATCTAGGTGCTCAGTATCATAGTCTCAGGGAATGCCATGGTCAATTGGCATAACAAAGACCCTAAAGACAATGTTCTACATCCTACTTTGGTAAGTAGCACAGCCGGGATCTTAAAAGCTCATGAGTAGCCATCTAAGGTGCAACTATTAGTTTCTGCACATGCAGAATAAAGAAGAGTGATTCAAATTGAAGATGCTTGGAATTAATTAGTCCAATGAACTCACAGAACACATGAACATCAGTCTTGACAACTCTGAGACCAGAAGAATTAAATGGTGTCCAGCTACCACTACCAACTGCTCTGAAAAGGATCATATTAGAAGGTCCTGGATAGAGTGGAAGATAATGTGGAGCAAAACTCAAAAGAGACCAGGCTTTCTGGTCAGAAAGAAACTGGAGGAACCCAAGAAAATGGTCTTTAGTTACCCTTCAGGTCTGGAATAGAGCACAGCTTCGTGAACAATTTTCAGTCAAGCAGTAAATAGGTATATAAGAGAGACAACAACACTAGTCAGGTATGATCACCATGGAATGATCAAACTGTTCAAGGTCAAAAGGCAGAAGGGTGGAATTGAAAGAAGAACCACAAGGAAGGAATGTGATAACTGTTGTTGTATGGAGGCAACTGCAATCATTGATATGAAACAAGCTGTATGATTTGTTGAATATAAAACTGGAGATGTGCTCTGTAAACGTTTACTCAATTCACAATAAAAGGTTTTAAAATTGTTATGATATTAGGTTAAGTAAAGAGTTCTTTGATAACTCCACAGTGTGTCACCTTGGCTAAGCTGCACTACATTTCCTACAATCCTCTTTTCTGTTTGCTGTTTAGACAGGCCACAAGATAAATTTTTAAAAGATTTGGTGACATCAAGCCAGTTCCAACTCGTAGTGAATTTCTGTACAACAGAACAAAAACTGACTGAAAGTCAGAGGTGATAAAATTTCTCCATACTGGTAGAATTCCAGCCTACTGTTGATCTTTTCTTCCTGGCTGCCTATTTTCTGGAGTATAAGCTCCAGCAACCAATATAGAGACAGTTTTAAAGAGACTGCTTAAGTAGACCCCACAATCCCACAATTGCATAAACCAATTTCCTATAACAAATACATACACTACAATACACACACA